AGTGTTATTGGAAAGTCAGAAGCTGAAGGTCGCGTCGTGAGCCGCGGCCCCGGCCTGTCTGGCGGTGTTACAGACATACCCGAGTGTTGTTTTCTCGGACTCGACACTCTTTGGGCCCTTCACTGGGTGGGCCGGCGGGGGGGCCTGGGGCCCCCTCCTGACTCGCGGGGCGTGGCCGCGCGCGCCCGCCCAAACGGGACGGGGAGGGAAGGGAAGGGGTGGACTGTGGAGAGAGGAAGAGGGCGCCGAGGAGGGAGCGGCGGGCGTCCCGGGCCCCGGGCCGCCGGAGACACGGACGGGAAGGGAAGGGCTGCTGGGCGCGGTGAGCGGAATTGTTTCGCAGTGAATCGCTGCGGCTACACGGCGGGTGGGGGTGGAGGGGGATGGAGGGAGAAAAGGGATCACAAATTGCTTGTGATTCAGCCAGCCTTGGTGCGCTCCGCTGGCTCCGCTACAAGCAGGCGCCGGGGCCGTGGCGCGGCGTAGCGGCTTGTAAACGGATGCATTAGGCCGGACCGAGAGTAGGCCGGCCCCGGGGCCAGCCACTCGCAGCTCCGGCTGCGGCTGCGCAGAGGATGTTTTTAGGTGCCGAGCAGACTTTACATTAAACTGCGTTGGCAAAAATTTCCAGATTGAGGCCGTTTCCGTTTGGAAATGCCAGAGAACGCCACACCGCCATACTCGTGCCGTGCAACGCTTATTGCTCGCGGGACGGGCGGGGCGGCGCAGTCGGGCAGCCCGGGACGCCTCGCAGCGTCCGGGCCCGATGGACCAGAAGAAATCGCCTTAGTTTTCCAGCACACGATCTGTGATCAGCGATAAATTTCGCAATGCGTTTCTTCTTTTCTGTTTCACTTGGATTGCCTTGCGCGCGAGCGGGCCCGCTGCCCCCGCTTTTGGCGCTGCTATGGAGGCCTCTCTGGAAAGGGGTGCGCGGGTCGGGTGGTGGGGAGTCGCCTGGAGGCTGCTGCTGGGTGTGGTGGAGGCCGCCTGAAGAGGAAAAAGAGTCCTGGAGATTGGTGGAGGCCACTGGACGGAGAGTGTTCCTGCAGGCTGGTGGAGGCCGCCCGGGGGGCGCTGGCAGGGGTGGAGGCCGCCCGGAGGCCGCTGGCAGGGGTGGAGGCCGCCCGGGGGCCGCTGGCAGGGGTGGAGGCCGCCCGGAGGCCGCTG